TTGCCATTAAATAGTAACATATTTAACACTCTTTTATCCATTAGAATATAAGGTCAAATGGGACAAAATCTCGAGATGTAATTTTTACAATGAATACAATGTCAAGTGGATATGATATGGTCATCATCCCCATTGTTCCTATCTAGATCGCTCCCCGATAGAACAATACTATAATATTAGAAAGGTTGATGTTAAAATACAAATTTATACTACAAGGCTATAGATGTTCGATGTCACTAATCCTGTATGTCGGCGTAGAATCGTGTTCTTACACGATTCTACTCCGAAATACAAGATAAGTATAATCCCCGCCTTTTTAAAACTAGGAACGGCCGAGAAAGATCGGCGAGAAGACGATCGTTGGGTTTGAATTAGCTGCGAATTCGTCTTAGGTCAGAGACGATTAGCAAAGCATATACAAGGCATGTCGATATCGATGCAAGAGATTCAAGTTCGGTTGGTAGGCCTACTTCAAGTATATAGCAAATTCAGCGAGGAACTTGAATTGCATTTTCACAATGACATTATTAGATTGTCTATTAATTCAATAATATCACTTACAATGACGTGACAACATACTGTAAGTAACGTGTAAAATTCTGAGTCTGGACTTCCGCAAGGTAAGTTGGTTTTTGCTTGTGCTCCTGACCAGGGATTTTAGTCGGTTCTTAGAGTTAAGCCTAATTTTAGGCCTAGGTAGCTCTCCCTAGTGCTAAAATATAGAGTTAGGAATAAATTAGGGTTAGAGTTCGGTTAGGCTTAGGTTAGCTAAGCCAAACTTTTTCTCAACTTTAATTCTCAAAGTTTCAAGAAATGTAGCCAACCATCTTGGCTTCCCTATCCAAGAGAAAGCCAGAAGACAGCAGTCGGCCATTTTGTCGTTTGGTGTTCTGTTTAGGAGATTGGCCGTCCAGAACAACCTGCGGCCCATATAGACAGGCATCGCAGGTGTCTGCGTGTTACATCCCACAACTCGTCTAGTGCGTCGTACAGGTTTGCAGGACAAAACAACTATAACGTCGGTCAAAATTTCCAAGTGTCATCTAGTGCGTCGCCCAACTGTATTAGACAGGCGTCATCCAACTTCTAGGTAATATGTAATTCAGATTGTATATACTAAATAGTCCATCTAATGCTATTACATTGTATTTGCATATATGTCAGTACTGTGTACTTTATACCTAGTATTCTGTTTTCACCAATTCACTGTATATTATATGCTTTTCAATGTATATGTTCTGTTGCTCAGTATCAACAATTAATTGGAACTCCATATACGCTTAATCCTTCTATAACTATATTCGCCTATTCTACGGTTATACTGCCACGTTTTATTCCTTTGCAAATTCTATGTACCGCTTGTATTAATGCACTGTATACACTACTTGTCATTGTTCACTGTATCCAGTTCAAAGTTTATATATTATCCGCTTTTACATATTTATGTGAAATTGTTTATTTGCAATCTATTTCTCTGTAACCCATGTCCAGCACTGCTAGACATAGCTGGACATGCATCTTTATGCATTAATAAAATAATTGATTGATTGTATGTAACGTGTAAAATTTCAATTCCTACGTCTTGGATAACGCTAATAATTCGTTAAATATAACTTTCTCTTTATATTATAAAAGGAAATAAAATTATAAACATCAGAATTGAAAATACTTCTACCTCTTTACAAAATTTAACAACAAAAGCAGTTATAAGTGACAGATCAATTTTATATTTAGAATAATTAAGGTAATCCGATCAAAATGACGAAACAATGTGGTACGGTTATGTTTTTCAATGAAATTTTGTTCAGAGTTAATATGTACTTTGATTTGCACCTCCATTAATGAACTGGATATACATAATTGTCGCGAATAGGTATTTGTCAATGTTATTTGCCAGGAAAAGTGCTGAAATGATACGATCACCACGAAGGAACATGTGATTCGATTGTAAATTAAAATGAAATTTTTGACTGTAATTCATTACATAACTTTGCTTGTACAGTACTTGTATTGATGAAACAGTTCAATTTGTTATGGTAAGAAAACTGGCGTTGTGAAAGAAAAACAAAATTGTCACTATCGACTTTTCCTGTGACGAAAAACTGGTTAAAGATAGAGTAAATCATATGATTTAATTTTAGGAAATATTTCCTTCATTATAAATTTTCGTGAAAAATAATAATTATATCAGTCACCACCAAAACTGGACTAAATTATTAATACACCATTGTTAAACGAAGTATAGAATGAAAGTCACGGAACATAATGTTGAATTATGACCTTCATTTCTGGTAATTCTGCTCTAGACAAGACGAACGAAGAAGGATATGAAAGTAAGGCACACGGTTCGATTAACGTCAAACAAAAGACGGTGTCGAATTGCATAATTAAACAATCCACTTTATCGGAAACCAATCTGGTTTAATTTCACCTGGTAACAGAAAAAGACCGGTCGGGGATCGAGAAAGGTAATTAATTAATAACCAATAAAGTAACGATTTTCGAACCCACAAGATATTTAAACCAAGACCACAAGGACACTGCTTATTTTGCAATTGCTTCCCGCGAGTCTAGGGGTGTTTCCCGCAAGCTTACATCTTCGTCCTTTGCCTATTTACCTTCCGAAACTTATAGACCGATGCACATTCACCGGACATCTTTTTCAGTTCGAGAACAGGACATAGAATGCAGAAATTTCCGATGAACGATAGGAAACCATCTACGTATCCGGACTCGACTCTGCTACTTTTCAATTGGGTTTTTGTAACGGGGGCTTTCCTGTTGCCGAGCGGAGTTTGTCCTGGTACTTTGAGTGAAAGAGTTCCCGAACACTGAGAGTTTGGTCGTAGATCCGCGCAGCGCTCGGACAGCCTGGCCACGTAAAGTTTTTCGGGTCTTCTCCACGTCTGTAATGCCGAAGTAGAAGCCAGTTTCCTTTTAAAAATCCTCCTGGAAGGTACCCCTAGACAAGGAGTGGGACACAGTTTTTGCCCCCGGGCTAAATTAGGAAGAAAACTTTTTCCACGGGCCGAACCAAAGGCTGCCCTAGAAAGATTTTAAGGTAGTGCGAGATCTCATCGTGGTGTCAACCTGTAGATAGAGATTACAGATACATTTTTCAAATTATCATGCTTTCTGAACATTCTTCGCTATAATTACGAGATTTGTAATGGAGAGTTAACTCTAAACACACAGTGAGTTGTTGACCTTTATTTCTTTTTAGGCGACAGAATTTTTCATGGAGCTATTCGGACTTCACTAGCTAATATTCAAAGATTGATCGCGGACCACATAGATACATTACACGGGTTGGATTTGGCCCGCGAACCGTATGTTGGCCGTGTATGCTCTAGACAAATGGCCCAAGTGTTGCATTGTAATAACTAAATAAATGAAACAAAATGTAAAGAAAATAATTGATTTATAGAAATATAACCGAAATTTCCAAAAGCAATGTACGACATGACGTACGTTAGAAGGATTTGAAAGTAAGTACCGAATTTTTTAGCAAATAGCCAAGAAATGTATAGCGAACAAACAAAGAAACATTCTCATTTATAATCGCACACGTCGTTCTTTATAGTTACTCACGAAAAATAAATTCCGAAATAAAATTGATTGACATGCGTAAAGCGTAGAACGCACTACGTTTATCATTCCGTAAGCACGATTGTTATTGTTGCATAAACAATAAATTTTGAGAATAATTTTTTAACTATTGTTAAAGTGATTGAATTGTTGAAGCGATATTTCGAAAGCGATTTTGTTAAAAAAAATGGATATTATGAGTAAGTAAAATACTTTTTAATGTATAATTATATTAAATCTTTTATAACGTGTTGGTAATAAATACAAAAACACGGATTTAATAGTAATTTTCTACGGGATATTTAAAAATCCCAGTAAAAATGTTTATACGATAGAACGTTATTTAACTTTGCATTCATTTTCTGTCGAAGACAATTACAGCATTAAACGTATTTTCTGCAAATTAATAAAAATTTGTTGTTTCAATCTTTTCTAATATTTAAATATTTGGTTCTGTTAAGTTGAATAAAAAGAAGTAAACGGAAATTACAAAAACACTTTTACAATAAAATAAAATATTCAAAAATAAGATTGAAATCTCTCGTTAATTTAAAATAATCTTATGAAAATTTCTAAGAACTGTAATCTAAAAGCTAATGTATTAGTGTTTAATGTATACTTACGACTTGATTTTAAGTACATTTCAGGTTTTGCTCATTGAGCAATGCTATATTTTATATTTACAAAATGTTCTTGTCTATTACATTATTTATCGATATTGTTCAATAAATAAATCGATGTTCACCGCTAGATAAATGCAAACAATGCTCATTTATAAGAAAAAAAGTTGTAACGAAAGAACAACAAATGTGGCAATTATTTTTCATTGGTTAAAATTATCCATGATTTCCCTTTACTTTTTATCGTTGTTTCTCGAGTATAAAGATGTAAATGAATATTTGATTATTTACATTTTTAAAGTTAATCTGAAAATTGAATATTTTAAACTCATTTTACTCAAACTTTTTATTAAATTGTATCAATGAATGTAAAGTAAGCTTCTGAGTGTACGCTAATAAATATCCGTTTATTTACTTCGACAGAGAAAAACTCTTCATTAATATTACATTTTCAGTTGACGTTATAATTGAAACAGTTTACACTTTCTACCCAATTAATAATTCTAAATCACAATGCAATATTTATGCTATTATATCAAGTTTAATTTAACAAATTTCTAAGCAAAAATTAATTAATTTTTTTTTTTAAATTTTAATAGTTATTTTTGTAAATTTGCTATAGAATAAAGTTTCAAAATATTTTTCTAGAATAACAATTTGATGTGTTTATTTGGTTTAAAGTTTTTGTTATTTGCTCTGTTTCTCTTTTTCAAATTCCTATATAATTTTTGAATTCAGACGAAGAAAGTGTTACGAATTTCTGTGTTTATTGAGTTTTCTTTTATTCTTTAGAAAACAATAAGAGAGATGAGGTTATTAATTCGAACGTACAAGTTTCGGGTGATGAAAAAAAAGTCACCTTGGAGGATTCTGTCGAGACAATTGTACACATCATCATGGATCTGGCAGCTCAGAAGAGAAAAGAAAAACCAAAATCGTCTTCTTCTGTAAGTGACAATTCAATGGAAATAATTGAAAATAATTTAACAATTCTTATCATTTAAAAGTTTACAACTGAAACACTCATGACAACCATGCACAATCTTATAAAACTTATTATTTAAAATGAATGCAAATTGTTTATTTATAAATAAATAAATATTTGCTGAGTTGATAAAAAAAAAAACAGTACGAATACTGTAAGATTATTATATCGTTAATCAGAATTTTTCACTTTTTGCAGGATCTTGATGAAAAATTGGAAATGGAAAAAGAAGACTCATTGGAATTGAACGAAATAGGAGAAGTAATGGAGGAAGGTGAGGTCACAAAAAGATTATAAAAAACTTTTTGATTCATAGAACAATTTGCTTAAAAATTATTGAAAATAATTTAATGTTAAATTCATTGTGTTAAAATCTGTTTACATTAAGTAACTTAATATTAATCATCCATCTACAATTTGTCAGGTGTGTTGGATGTGGTAGTTTAATATATTCGAAACAATTCATAATTAGCATTAATTTCAAAATGTTTATTACTAAAAGAATTCCATTTATTTCGTGAAAAATACTTGAGATAATTATTTTTGTTGCTTAAACTTTTCAATTCCTCGAAAAGTCAATTTAATTACGTTTATATAAATGCAAAGAGTTTATTACGAATAACATCCGGTATATAGCCACAAGATGAAACGTAAACATTGAAATTAACTTAAAACAAGAAATAATTCGCGAAGCACAAGCAGAAAAACACTGTGCACTTTACTCTTAATATTCCGTTTATTATATGTTTGATTTTTCGATTCAATCAGAATGGGAAAAATCTAAACTTATATTTATATTCGTAGCGATTACATTTATTTAACGTACTGTTTATACATGTGTACTGCTTTGTCATTTCTTCTATAGTTTAAACATTATATTTGTATTTATAAACTTTTCATCCCAGCTTAATTTGTGAGAATATATGAATATTGGAATACGTACAAATTTTTCACATAAACACGAATATTTTACACTGTTACAATTGTTTTTTTTCTAAACTTATTTATAGTTAATGACAGCATTACGATTTTAAATTACAAACAAATTGAAATGTAAATTATAAAATCATTACTTTTTAGTCTCGAAAGTAATAAGAAAATTTGATGAAGAGAAGACTAATGATGACGATAGATATTCGTGGGAGAGCGAATCCCTAAAAGATGACGATGATGAAAACGTAAGATAATATTTTCTAATTTTCCTTAGTTTACACTTATAAACCCATTCTCGTTCTTCACTAAACTTTTTTAATAATGTTTTGGTATTTCAAGGTTTTCGTCACTAAAAATATTCAATTAAAAACATTACATAATACCAGGTTATCGGACAGCACAAAATATGTTTTAAATGGTTTTCTATAGTGCGAGTTTAAATCTTTGATGTATTTTTCGCCAAAATTAATTGGTCGGCAAATTACTGTTTGATGAATAAAACAGTTTGTCAGTACGAACGTGTTAAAAATTTAACATATATTTTCAATTGGTGTCTACTTTACCAATGAAATTGTGTTATTTTGTACCATCCGAGTATCGCTATAAACGTAATGATGTTAGCCTAAACTAATTGATTTTTAGATGGTTATTATATCATAGTATTTGATTTATATATTCATGTAAGAATTTAACAGACAGAGTGATCAATTTAACACATTATAAAAATTTAAAGAATCTGTCGGATTGTCTCTCGGTGTGATAAACCCTTATATAAATTACCTTTGTAATTATAAATCAAACACTATGATTTATTATAAAGGAAGAGTTAAAAGTACGAAATAATGTAATATTCTTAATCTTCGTAGTTATCATTTTCTAGTTTACCAATATATTTACCCTCTTTGCAGAAAACAACAAAATGTACGGACATCTTTCGTTATTTATTTATAAAACTGCCATCCGTCATCTTTTCCTGCTGGAAAAGAAAAAAATAAATGCTCCACAATGAAAAAGGTACGTAAAAGATCGCGTAAATTTTAATTATAACATGACTCTCATTTAATAAAAGTAAATCGGTGTAAGATTATATTAATTAGCGAAAATTAATTTATTTCTGCACATTTATCGTAACCTTTATTAAAGGTTACGATAAATGTGCAGAAATAAATATTCACATAAAATTTAATTCACTTTAACACCAAGGTATTCTA